TAACCTTTTTTTTTTTTTGGTTGTGTGTGTACTTTTTTAATACTTACATGAGACTGTTTATCCATGTCGTTATTGGTCAGTTTAACCTTTTCAAATGAAACTATCTGCTTCTTCAGTTGGTCTCCAGTGAAAGGACAGTCCGGATGGAGATAGAGGCGGGGCGGGGAAGGAGGGTCAGCTTTACCGGCAACTAACCAAGAGGACCGATGGTAAGCGTAGCGGTACCGCTTGTTGTCCACAGGGACAATGTCCATTAGTACGGCATATTTGGTCTGAACGTCAATATTACTAAAGGAAATTCTCAGCGTAGGGAACATCCTCCTGTTAGCAGAATAATAAATAATCAAATTATTCAAATTTAAATTTTCTGCTAATATTTAACTGTTTTCGAACAGAATTATGTATAAAAGTATATCAGGCTGGTTAAACATCAGGACTTTTCATGTTCCAAGTCCATAGGCCTATCCATTAATGTATACTAATATTATTCAAATACTTTAACAGTAGGTAAGATTTCACATTATTAGCAAAATGCACACTCTAAAGTGAAATCTGTAATTAGCCCCAAAAATTATGATAGAGTGACGTGCTTTTTCCCATTATTTTCCTTTTTTCTAACTTACTTACGCAATATAAAAAAACAATATGTCAAGATGTTTAATGTGATATTGACAGTACATTAGGTTTCAGTGTTCTTTGGTTCATACAATTTTTACTTTCTTTAAAGTAGTTAGCGTGTGAGTAAACAGCCTGTATACATTTGGTATATGAAGGCAATAGGCTCTCATGGAGGCTCAGTGGCAAGGTTAAGGACTTATAAAGCTAAAAATTGAGTTTCGATACCTTTGGTGGGCGATGAGCAATTAGCCCATTGTGTAGCTTTGCACTTATACAGATGTATACAGCAGGTTCTTCCATAAAAATTACTGTATTGAGTCTAAATAAAACAAGAACTACGGATGCAGGAGTGACACACGCTATTACAGGAAACCGACTCTTTTTCTTTATTTTCCTTTTTGTTTAGCTTTAAAAGACACTCCTTAAATGTTTTGATAGACATACAATACCAGAATTGTTGGGGGGGGGGTGTTTATGGGACAAAATGTAAAGGATTTCAATGTCAACTTTATTTTCTGAAGCAGAAATTCAAAAAGTATCAGACTTTGATAAAACTTTGATACTTTAATATTAATAGTCATCTCGTTCACGGTGTATTCTTTATATACAAATGACAATTTTTTTTTGTAGTTTGACATGAACATTTGATTGGTATCTATAAGAGAAAATAATTCAAAGGTTTGTGATTTATAAAATATGACACAGTTTATTTTACAGCGAAGTAAACAAACCGTTAACCTTTTATTAAATTATTAAATATGTGAAAAATATCACAATTTATCTGAAATGTTACAAATATCGATCTTCTATACAAAAACTAGTGAATATAAACTCATGAATATAAGTATATTTTTATAATTACTTCAAAGTATTTTTAAAAGTTTGATATATAGATTCAAGTAATATAATTAATTTCAACTGTTTCTCTGTTACATCTTTTTTCATCTTCATCTGTTTAGGTCTTCTATTGTGGGTTCATCGCAATTTATAACAATCAAACTCCAAGTCTCACGTCACAATTGTAACAACCAAACTCCAAGTCTCACGTCAGAATTTATAACAACCAAACTACAAGTCTCACGTCACAATTGTAACAACCAAACTCAAGTCTCACGTCACAATTTATAACAACCAAACTCCAAGTCTCACGTCACAATTGTAACAACCAAACCTCAAGTCTCACGTCACAATTTATAAAAACCAAACTCCAAGTCTCACGTCACAATTGGAAATAATTCTTCCATCATATCTCAGTCTTATGGTCATTATTATATATTATTGTCCGACACTGAAATTTCCATTCTAATAAGTTTAGACGAAGGATGCGAGGTCAATCTTTAACCATGAACCTTGAGCTTTTGACAACTCCTCCACTATACGTGGACATCGACTTCTAAATCACATACTCCAGAGGTATATGTTAGAGAAGAGGATAACACAAACACCGGTTGCATACTCCTTGACTCGTACAAACGCTGCTGTGGACTTAGACATGCGACCTTTTCCTGATGTGCACATACACTCGTGGTGTCCCAACCATATATAGAGTGTAGGAATTTCCTTATAAATAACACAGGCCTGCGATGGTTTTACTATCTTGACATTTTTACATGTTCTTAGTAATTCCTGTACGCTGAACCCGAAAATTATATCCATTTTTCTCCATCACGTACAGAATTTTCACATAACGCAATACATAAAAGAAAAACCACAACACGTACTTTTGGGACTAAAAGACGTAGATTTCACAAAAAAATCAAGATGAATGAGGATGCATATTCGATTGACATCAATATTCTTCCATTTTCTTCAATTTGTTTGTATTTTTGTTAACAAACAATAATAAAAATGTTCATTGTGGTAAACGAAATAATAATTTCATCTAAGTAAGAGTTACTTTTTCTTTCCGATTTGTTAAAATATCCTTACGTGATAGAAAAACATTAATATTATTTTCGAAATCTGCGTAGCTGAATTATGGAAAATCCGTTATTAAAACCAAAACAACTTTAATGAAGTTTAAATTCGCAGGCCTGTGTTATTAGTGTCTAGATGTTCTGATAGTAGCTGCAGTTCACCTTTTTTTCACTGCGTACCTTGATAAATTGTAATGCCTGATTATGTGAGAAGTTTCCAGCAACCATGAAGAAAGAGAAAGAATTTGTTTACTTTCTGTGTACATGATGGAAGATCCTTTGAACCGTGGTTAATAGAAAGTCTCCTGTTTCACGTCGCAGACGTTCAAGTACAACTAGGCCTAATCTAATGTTACAACAAACTTCAATCTGTCATGTTCAAGGTAATCTTTGTGTACACTTTTTGCAGTTTGCATTTCTCTCGCCAATGTGTCTATGTGGAGCAATTGTGTACTCGTAGTTAATGTTTTTTTTACGAAAATCAAAATCTTTGTGAATTGTCCTGAGGTTAGTTGATCAGAATATGTGAAACTACAGCCATAAGTATTCCGTGGTGACATGTGCAACCAATGGTGTGAAATACAACCATAAGCCTGCCAGTGTAGACATTGAGATATTAGTGGTCGGGAATTCACAATGAATCGAATAATCAGGTGCTAAACATATCGCCCGTGACACCACGATTCCCATCTACAGCAAAACTCCACTAAATTAGACGGTGCATATCGTTCTTATAAAGTATCATTAACTTTCCGTATATGTTTGTCAAATATAACAGGGGCTAGAGTACAGTAAGCAGGAAATAATAGACTACTTAATCTAACACATTTCTTACAACACTAGAAGAAAGCCACAACATTCTGAAGGCTTACGACGCTAGAAATCGGGTTTCGAAATCTGTGGTGGGTATAGCACATATAGCCCGCTGTGTAGTTTCGTGCTTAATAGTAACCAAAACCAAAACTGTTTTTAACTTTCTTTAGATAAATGTAGTAGTTTTATTTTATATTGTGATTTGACAGTATAGAACACCTTATACAGTTAGTGAATGCAGAGCTAAGTAGGATGGCAACATTGATGGGTACAATTACATCTGTTATCGTAATAATTTAATATTTAAATTTTATATACATTTTAATAGGAAACGATATGTTTTATTAATAATAAGCAACAGTATAGTGACATATTTTAAGTTTATCCTAACATATAAAAAGAACTAGAATTAAATATAGTACTAATCAATAGTACAGAGAAGCGAACTTGACATAAGGTATGAAAATAGATATAGTACTCATCAATAGTACAGAGAAGCGAACTTGACATAAGGTATGAAAATAGATATAGTACTCATCAATAGTACAGAGAAGCGAACTTGACATAAGGTATGAAAATAGATATAGT